AGGAGGGGGGTTTGGGTGGGGCAGGGGGTTGGGGTGCGGGAGGGGGTTCGGGGTGCACGCTCCAGGCGGCGCTTACCTCAGGTGGCTCCCAGAAGCAGCAACATGTCCTGTGGCTCCTAGGCAGAGGCGCGGCCAGGCGGCTCCGCACGCTGCCCTCGCCCGGAATTGTCTTCCTGACAGCTCCCATTGGCCACGATTCCCAGCCAATGGGAGCTGCAGAGCCGGCACTCGGGACGGGGGCAGTGTGTGGAGCCCCTGTGGCCACCCCTGCACCTAAGGGCCGCAGGGACTTACCAGCCACTCCCAGGAGCTGCGTGTAGCCAGGAAGGGAGCCTGGGAGCCCGGCAGCACCGCTGACCGGACTTTTAACAGCCCGGTCAGCAGTGCTGACGGGAGCCGCCAGGGTCCCCTTTCGACCGGGTGTTGGCAGCCCGAGGCCAATGGCTGGTTCACTCCTTGCCAGAGGGACGCCCCCGGGCTTGAGAGAGCTACACTCCGGGTGGTAATTCGACCAGCCACGGTGCTCGTCTCGGCTGATAGCACAGGCCAGAGACCTGCCCCACAGGCATTCCCAGAGCAGATCTTCTAGGCGTGGGTGGCGCATGGACCCTCCCTTCGGGGAGGCCAGCTCCCTGGCCCTGCCCCTTCTGCCCCCCCTCACCTGCCAGAACCCCGAGCTCCAACCCCACCCATCGCAGCCAGAGGAGCCCCGGCCAAACCACCCCGAGCCCTGGGCCACCGCCGGCAGGCTGCCCTAGCCACGCCAGCTGGCCCAAGCACCACCCCAGCAGCCCCAAGTCCCTGGCTGCCAGCCAGCCCTGAGCCACCAGCCCAACCCCCGGGCCGGCCCAACCCACCCCTGGTCGCCAGCCGGCCCGAGCCACCAGCCCCAACCCCCAGGCCGGCCCAACCCGCCCCTGGTCGCCGGCCAGCCCAAGCCACCAGCCAGCCAAGCGCCGAGCTCCAAGTCGCCGGCCAGAGCTGAGCCCCCGTCACCTTTGGGGGAGAAGGGGAGCGTGGGCGGGGCTTTGAGGTAGAGCGTGGGCGGGGCCACAGCTTCGCCTCCCCTGACCTATGATACCCATCCCCCGTGAGTCATTCTCGTGGTTCTGCGCTAAACTTCTCCGCTGTATCACCCTCCCTCTGGGATGGCGCGGAAGTCAGGGGAGGCCGTTCGCTTTCCACCCGGCATCACTGGATACGGCTACACGGGTCCGTCCACTACCGCACAGGTCGGAAAATCCCACCTCGTTCTTCCTTCACCAAGCCCGGAACTTCTGGCTGACACTGATCATAGGACGCGGGACTGGACCTCCCGGGTCATTGAGACCTGACCCCAGGCAAGCCCTGAGTTATTGAAAAAGGTTCAGAGAAGAGCAACCAGAATGATCCGAGGTCTGGAGAACCTGCCTGGGAGAGGCTTAAGGAGCTAGATCGATTAGAGCGGATCACACGTTGAACGTGAGCCAACCGGGCGATGCCGCTGCGAAAAAGGCTGATCTCGTAATGGGGTGTAGTAACGGGCGTGTCGTAGGTCATTGTCCGGCCCTGGGGAGGCCCCAGCTGGAGAACTGGGTCCAGTTCTGGGTGCCGCACTTTAGGAGAGATGGGGACAAACTGGAGAGAGTCCTGAGGAGAGCAACAGAAATGATCAAAGGTTTACAAAACCCGACCTGTGAGGAAAGGTTAAAAAACTGGGCATGGTCGGTCTGGAGAGAAGAAGGCCGAGGGGGGACCTGAGAACAGGCTGCAAATATGGTAAGGGCCGGTATAAAGAGGCCGGGGATCAATTATTCTCCATGTGCACTGAAGGTGGGACAAGAAGCAAAAGCTTAACCCGCAGCAAGGGAGATGGAGGTTGGAGATTAGGGAAAACTCTCTAACTCCCAGGGCAGGGCAGCTCTGGACTCGGCTCCCAAGGGCGGCTATGGGGTCCCATCGCTGGAGGGTTTGAAGACCAGGTTGAACAACCCCCCGTCAGGGCTGGTTTAGGTTGACTCGGGCCTGCCTCAGCGCCGGGGGCTGGACGCAGGGACCTCTTGAGGTCCCTTCCGGCCCCACGTTTCTGTGATTTCCAGAACCCTATGGAGTCTATCCCAGAGAGGAGGTGACTCAATCCATCGAAACGCAGGGCTGGGAGGGAGACCGAGAGCTCCCCGAGCCCAGCCCAGAACGGTGCAGCGTGAACTGGTCTCACTCCGGTGTCCTTGTTACCCAATGGAGGTCAGAGCTTCAGAGTCGCGTTCGATCAGCTAGTCTGACCTCCCGAGAGCCAGCTGCCTGTCCTGGGCCCGACAACCTGGATTAGACTCCGTACTGCAGTTGGAGATTAACCTCTTGTGCACCAGGGACCGAGGTGTCACCAATGCGTGAGGCAGATGGTCCACAGCCCATGCTGCAGAGGATGGGGAACTCCCCCCGCTCAGGGTCTCTGCCAAACTGACCCGGGGGGAATTCCCTCCTGAGCCCAGGTCTGGAGATCCACTAGACCCTGAACATGTGAGCTAGACTCACTGGTCAGGATTCGCTGGATGAGTTCAGCTCAGAGCACCAGGCCACCCCATCCTATGTCCCGTCTCCCGCTGTGGCCGACCTCTGATGCTGCAGAGGAAGGAGGGGGAAAAAACCCAACCTGGAATACATAAGGGGGGGATTTCCTTCCTGACCCCAAAAGGCAGATGCCCTGAAGCATGAGATTAGGAACACAAGACATAGCACTGGAAGGGACCCCTGGGCCACCAGTCCCAGCCCCTCATCACTGTCACACAACCCCAGTCATAAATATATCGAGCTCTATCTTAAAGCCACCTAGGTAGTTTGTCACACGCCCCTCCTACGGGGAGGCTGCTCCAGAACCTTTCAAATCATGTGCTGGTGAGTTCCACAGGCCAATCACGCACTGAAAAGTATTCCCTTGGATCTGTTTTGAATTTTCTGCGTTACCTGCTGGAAAATTGGCCAGTTTTGAAATTTTTCAGACCGTTTTGTGCTCCAGCCATTCTGGATCCTCGGTGGCACAGTGGCCAGCGTCCGAGAAAAACAGATGCTTCAATAAACATCTGAGAAAAATAGAGGTTTTATTTAATAAACATCCTTTGCTTTACAAAAATAAGGAGCTATTTTGTTACCACCGTCCAGTTAATGTAACAAGTGAGAGATCCAGAGGTTACCCGTATTATGGCTCTGAATTTGGGCTCTGACATCTCGATCTGAGGTCGCAAGTCAAGCCACACCCTGGATACTGAAAGAGGAGCCTGATTCTCAGCCCAGTGAGAGGGACGCAGCCTTTGCGTATTGTCTCCCTCCAGCATCTCTCAAGCCAAACCCCATGGCCAAGATTGGCTCCTCGACAGAACTGGTCCAAAGTCGGAATTTCTGCTCCATGGGAAATTTGGATATTTTGAAATTTAGTTTTGTTCTGAATCCGGATGAAAACCAGAAATAAATTCTACAATTTCCCCATGAAACAAAATTGTTGGGAAAAACTATTTCGGTCTGGGGTCGATTGGAACATTCCCGTTCAATACATTTTTTAAAAAATCTGATCAAATAAAATCCAGTATAATCAATTTGAACAAAATAAAAACTGATAAAATCCAATAAAATAAACTCAAAATGTTTCCTTCTGATTTTGACTTTTACAAAATTTAAAAGTTAATATAATAAAATAAAAAATGCAATAAAATAAAATGTTTCCCTCTGATATTGATGTTTTTAAAAATTAAAAACATAAAACAAAAAATATCCAACACAACTGAAATGTTTCCTTCCAATATTGACTTTCTAAAATTTAAACAAATCCAATTAAATAAAACCCAATAAAATCAAAATGTTTTTTTCCAGCGTTGACTTTTTTTAAATCAAAACCAACCAACAAAACAGAAAAAAATCCAAGAGAATAAATCTGATAAAACCAAACCGTTTCCTTCCAATTTTGACCATCTACAAATTGTTAAAAATTGAAAACAACCAACCAGAAGACAAATTTTGAACCCAGACATCCAAACGCTCGTAGCAAAATGGGATTTTTTCCTTGATATTTTTCCCCCAACGCACAATTTTGCGGCAGTTTCCCACACACCATCTGATTCCGACAAGATGCCGTTTTCCGACAGAAAGCTGCTCCGCTGGGAAAGTCCCGAACCAGCTCCGCCCCCAACCTCTGCCTCCTGCAGTCTCCTACGCCCTGGGCCGTGGCTACCCTACGGGGCGTTAGCGGCGTAGCTAGGTCGCCGTGGCGATGCCGGCCTAACCCTGTAGTGTAGACACGCCCGACAGCAATGGAAGAGGTTGGGACGCAACCTCCCCAAGTGACGGTAGCTGCGTCAACAGAAGGTTCCTGCCATCGGCCTAGCGGTGTCTACACCAGGCTTATGTCGGCCTAGCCACAGGCTCAGGGAAGCGGGCTCTTCCCGCCCCCCAGCAACATGGCTACGTTGACCTACATTGGATGCATAGACCAGGCCTTGGTTTGCACAATCCCACGCTGTGGCTGGAAGGAGACATGGCCCCCACGTCTCCACGGGGAGCACACGGTGCCCGTCCCGTCAGCGCAGGAGACCACCACCGCACCAGCCATCATCCTGCCCCTCAGGCCACCCCGCTCCCCTCCTGGGCACCTCCTCCCTCAACGCTCTGCTGAGCTCCAGCCATGGTCACTCGTCCCTCCCAGGCTACCCACAATGCACCTCGCTCTCCAGGGAGCTGTGGGGTCCTGGTGCTATCTGGCCCCACCGGGGGTCCTCCCAGCCCCGCCCCACCCACGGAGCTGGTGTGGGGATGGGGGGGCGGGGGTTATTGCTCTGTTAAGGTAGCCCCAGGGGGCCGGGTCAAGGGACAAAGGTGGAAGCAGAGAGGGGAAGAGGGATAGAAGCGGGAGAGGGCTCCGGGGGGGTACGAAGCCTCCAGCAGCCCCCCTCACCCAGCAGGGCCCAGCCCTCAGTCAAAGAGGAACCCAGGATCAGGGGGGTCACAAGGCCCCCCCTCCTCCTCCGTCCCATAGGCGGCCTCCAGCACCCGCTGGGCGTCACCGGCAAAGTCCTCCAGGGCGCTGTGCAGCAGGAAGTAGGCGGCCACAAAGGAGATGCCGCCGGCCACCAGGTTCTCCAGCAGCGGCAGGCGGTCGCGGGCCAGGCGGGCGGCCACCTGCCCACAGAGCGCGGCCTGGCTCAGCACGTCCCGCACAGCTGCCGGGGAGAGCTCCCGGCCCAGCGCCGACCGCACCTGAGCCCGCAGCCGCTGGGGGGAGCCGGCGCCCGCCCGGGCCAGCACCCCCAGAGACTCCTCGTCCAGGCCGAAGCTGCGGCGGTAGGAACCCAGCGTCTCCACCAGCATGGGCACGTTGAGCTGCAGCGGGAGCCCCGGCAGCGCCGAGACCAGGGACGCCAGCAGGGCCTTCTTCCAGACGTGGCGCCGCAGCGTCTCCTTCCGGCGCCCCACGGCCTCGGCCGTCAGGGCCGGCAGGGCCAGGAGCAGCGCGTGGCGCTTGTGCCCGGCCAGCTCCTCCGCCAGCGTGGCCTGCAGCCGCGGGAAGTCAAAGCGATGCAGCTGGAAGGCGGAGAGCAGGAAAACCCGTGGGGCGGCCACGCCTTCCTTCTCCAGCTGGCGGGCGCAGTCCGCGCGGATCTCGCCCAGCACCTGGCCCTCCTGGCAGCGGCCCGGCCGGCGCCGGCAGGACGCCCGCAGGTCCTGATCCACCTTGGTGCGGATGAAGTAGAAGCGCCTGCCCGCGGCGGCCAGGGCCTGGGCCAGCTGGGCGTGGCTCTCCCGGAACCGCTCCGAAGCCACGAGGAGGAAGAAATCGAAGTCCATCAAGCCCACCTGCTCCAGGTACCGCTCGGCCCGGAAGCTGGGGGTGCCGGTGCCGGGGAGGTCCCAGAGCCGGACGCTGGGGAGGCCGGGGTGGGGGTAGGGCGTGGGCTCGGCGGTGGTCTCCACGACGCCAGTGGGAGCGGCGCGGGGGTCCGAGTCGCTCAGGCCACGGAGGGCGTTGACCAAGGTGGATTTGCCGGCGCCAGATTCGCCCGTCACGGCGATGTCCAGGGTGGCAGAGTCCAGCGAATCCAGCAGGGTTTGGACCTGGGTGGAAACTTCCAGAACCACCCGGGATTGGATCAGGGTGCCCATCTCAGTCAGGTCCTGCTCCCGCAGCTCCAGGCTCTGCATGGCGGAGGAGCTGGCTTGGAAAAGGGGGAGGATTGAGGTTTCTTTGCCCTTCAGCTCAGGTTCCCACCAGCCCCCACTCCCCTCCTGGAGGTGGGGAGAGAAGCCAGGAGTCCGGGCTCCCAGCGCCCCCCCCCCTTCCCGCTCTAACCACTAGACCCCACTCCTCTCCCAGGGCAGGGGAGAGAACCCAGGAGTCCGGGCTCCCAGCCCCCCCCCAACCACTAAACCTCACTCCCCTCCCAGAGCTGGGGAGAGAACCCAGGAGTCCAGGCTCCCCACTCACAGCATTTCTCCGGAGGCTCCCAGGGAGCGGCTGGGCTGGTTTCGCTCCGATCTCGGGGGCGGGGGGGAAACGGAAACCGAAAGGCCCAGGCGGGCGGCCGGGGAGGAGCTCAGGACTGGATTAAGAGCAGCCGCCTGCACATCAGCACCTGGCCGGCAGCCAGGCTGGCACCGCACCAGGGCTCCTCCCCCGCAGCTCTGCCGGTGCCCCTCACTCCCGACCCGCAGCCC